ATGACAAGAGTAGGTGTATGTGTGTGGCCTTCTTACATGTGGAGCTGTCATTATTGGGAGGTGCTTGGTGTGACTATAATATATAGTGTACATTGATAGAACGGTAATGGATGATGTAGATTCCTGTACATGTATATGCTGATTATGCATACATAGTCTTCAAACAGCTGTGCATATAGTGCTGCAGTCCTTGTCCTTGTTTACTGTACTGGTGGTATCTAGGATGGGCACTGCACACAGTGTGTGTATATATACTAGGTACGTCCCACCTCTACCAGGTATATTGTCAGCTGTGTTGTGCTTGTTGTACTGGCTAGGTGGGGGCTGCAGGTATCAGTCTACACGTGTAGTGGTTGGCTTCACACCCTGCGATAAGGATGTAAAACAGTAGATTCTGACTGTAGATATATACCACCAGAGAAACAGCTTCATGATGATGTGTACAAAATAACTCTATTCCTTCCACTACACATTTCTTTATATATAATTGTAGAGCATGTATCACATATCAAAGGACATGAAAGCAAACAACAATCCATTTTGTGACAGTCGAAATAGGTTTATTTCTGTTAAACTTAAAGGATATAATGTCATTAATTTAATTTCGTGATTTACATATAAATGAGAATTTTGGGGCCAGTTTATTTTACCTTTTGGGCATGTATTCTTTCAAAAGACTGAGGCATGGTGACTCATTCTTAAGCATTGAACTGCTTTCAGTTGACATTCATAGACTATATGAATGCCAACTGGACAAAGGCAAATTATGTTGGATTTGCCTTTGTCCAGCTGGAATTCATATAGCCTATGTATGCCACTGAAAGCAGTTCAATACTTATAATTACCATGTTTTGGAATCTGTTCATCTCATAGAAAATTCAATTACACTTACCAAATATTCAGTATTTAGTTCAAATAATGTATGCATCTTGTTCAATGATACCACTGACTCTCCCTGGGCCATCGCCGAGGGAGGGTCAGTGGTATCCAACATAACAATTATGATGTCATTATGATTACAATGATGATGTCAACAATCGTTCCATGGCATTCATAGCCTAAATGAATGGTAAGGTTATATAGTGGCAATGCCATACGATGGTAAATATATTGTGATGAACTGCCAAGGGCCATGTCTAACCAACAGTGACTGCAAGAGAAAAAATATTACTTTTGTGACACAAGATTGTAAACACTTGAGGTGTAATGTCACAACTAGTGTTCTCTGTCAAGTGGTGTAATGTCACAACTGGTGTTCTCTGTCAAGTGGTGTAATGTCACATCTAATGTTCTCTGTCAAGTGGTGTAATGTCACAACTAGTGTCCTCTGTCAAGCGGTGTAATGTCACAACTGGTGTCCTCTGTCAAGTGGTGTAATGTCACAACTAGTGTCCTCTGTCAAGTGGTGTAATGTCACAACTAGTGTTCTCTGGCAAGTGTTGTAATGTCACAACTCATGTTCTCTGTCAAGTGGTGTAATGTCACAACTAGTGTTCTCTGGCAAGTGTTGTAATGTCATAACTCATGTTCTCTGTCAAGTGGGGTAATGTCACAACTAGGGTTCTCTGGCAAGTGTTGTAATGTCCCAACTCATGTTCTCTGTCAAGTGGTGTAATGTAACAACTAGTGTTCTCTGTCAAGTGGTATAATGTCACAACTAGTGTTCTCTGTCAAGTATTGTAATGTCACAACTCATGTTCTCTGTCAGGTGGTGTAATGTCGCAACTCATGTTCTCTGTCAAGTGGTGTAATGTCACAACTAGTGTTCCCTGTCAAGTGGTGTAATGTCGCAACTCATGTTCTCTGTCAGGTGGTGTAATATCGCAACTCATGTTCTCTGTCAGGTGGAGTAATGTCGCAACTCATGTTCTCTGTCAGGTGGAGTAATGTCGCAACTCATGTTCTTTGTCAAGTGGTGTAATGTCCCAACTAGTGTTCTCTGTCAAGTGGAGTAATGTCACAACTAGTGTTCCCTGTCAAGTGGTGTAATGTAACAACTAGTGTTCTCTGTCAAGTGGAGTAATGTCACAACTAGTGTCCTATGTCAAGTGGTATAATGTCACGACTTATGTTCTCTGTCAAGAGGTATAATGTCACAACTTATGTTCTCTGTCAAGTGGTATAATGTCACAACTAGTGTTATCTGTCAAGTGGTGTAATGTCACAACTAGTGTTCTCTGTCAAGTGGTGTAATGTCACAACTACTGTCCTCTGTCAAGTGGTGTAATGTCAAAACTAGTGTCCTCTGTCAAGTGGTATAATGTTACAACTAGTGTTCTCTGTCAAGTGGAGTAATGTCACAACTAGTGTACTCTGTCAAGTGGTATAATGTCACAACTTATGTTCGCTGTCAAGTGGTATAATGTCACAACTAGCGTCCTCTGTCAAGTGGTATAATGTCACGACTTATGTTCTCTGTCAAGTGGTATGATGTCACAACTAGTAAGTGGTATAATGTCACAACTAGTGTCCTATGTCAAGTGGTATAATGTCACAACTAGCGTCCTCTGTCAAGTGGTATAATGTCGCAACTTATGTTCTCTGTCAAGTGGTATAATGGCACAACTAGTGTTATCTGTCAAGTGGGGTAATGTCACAACTAGTGTTCTCTGTCAAGTTGTGTAATGTCACAACTAGTGTCCTCTGGCAAGTGGTATAATGTCACAATTAGTGTCCTCTGTCAAGTGGTATAATGTCGCAACTTATGTTCTCTGTCAAGTGGTATGATGTCACAACTAGTAAGTGGTATAATGTCACAACTAGTGTCCTCTGGCAAGTGGTATAATGTCACAACTTATATTCTCTATCAACTGGTATAATGTCACAACTAGTGTTCCCTGTCAAGTGGTGTAATGTCACAACAAGTGTTCTTTGTGAAGTGGTGTAATGTCACAACTGGTGTTCTCTGTCAAGTGGTGTAATGACACAACTAGTGTCCTCTGTCAAGTGGTAATGTCACAACTAGTGTTCTCTGTCACGTGGTGTAATGTCACAACTAGTGTCCTCTTTCAAGTGGTGTAATGTCACAACTAATGTTCTGTCAAGTGGTGTAATGTCACAACTAATGTTCACTGTCAAGTGGTGTAATGTCACAACACGTGTTCTTTGTCAAGTGGTGTAATGTCACAACTAATGTTCACTGTCAAGTGGTGTAATGTCACAACTAATGTTCTCTGTCAAGTGGTTAATGTCACAATTAGTGTTCTCTGTCAAGGGGTGTAATGGCACAACAAGTGTTCTCTGTCAAGTGGTGTAATGACACAACTAGTGTCCTCTGTCAAGTGGTGTTGTAATGTCACAACTAGTGTCCTCTGTCAAGTGGTATAATGTCACAATTAGTGTTCTCTGTCAAGTGGTGTAATGTCACAACAAGTGTTCTTTGTCAAGTGGTGTAATGTCACAACTGGTGTTCTCTGTCAAGTGGTGTAATGTCACAACTGATGTTCTCTGTCAAGTGGTGTAATGTCACAACTAATGTTCTCTGTCAAGTGGTATAATGTCACAATTAGTGCTCTCTGTCAAGTGGTGTAATGTCACAACTAGTGTCCTCTGTCAAGTGGTATAATGTCACAACTAGTGTTATCTGTCAAGTGGTGTAATGTCACAACTAATGTTCTCTGTCAAGTGGTGTAATGTCACAACTAATGTTCTCTGTCAAGTGCAGAACGGTTCTGAAGATTTACTTATGTCCATCCTTAATGTTAAAAAATTTATAATTATTTCGTAACTTATGTTATAATTATGAACTTTATTTGAGGGAAAATGTGGTTATATGGACTTGAAAGTTTAAATTAATCCTGACCTCATCTTGGTTACTATCTTGGGTCCATATTACTACATAATGATATCAACCAAAGTCCATAAGTACTTGCAGCAGTTACATCACAACAACTACTGTTCCAGGACCCTGCCTTTTTAAGATGTTAGCCAGAGTATCATATCACTATTATAATACACTGGACAACGATTAATCTAGGTGCAGTTCTAGTCCTGCCCGTACTGGTCTCGTGATCTTACAAGTGGGTACAAGATGAAATTGTCAGCCTCAGTTGAGTTCATGAAATTACTTTCTGCCAGATTCAACTCTAAGTACTAACTTAAGCTTACAGTTTGATAATAAAAACAGCTCCAAAAAACATTGGAAGGATGAGTTTCCATTTCATATAAGGTTTATGAAACATGCATAACTGTCAGAATTCTTCATTTTAGCTAGCTTCTGGTAAGCTAAAAGTGAAAGATTTGTGACAATTTTCATAATGTTGTATAACATAAAAAAAAATGTGAATATTGTGAAAAGCATGCTTTTCTGGGTCACATTTGCAGTTCAATATTCTGCCCTCTTGCCTGTATCTATATCTATTTTTGTTACTTGAAAGTGCTATGACATTACAATGCATCCTATAATTTGGTTAACTCATTCACCCCTAAAATTTCATAATGAACTATTCCAACCATTGAATTGGAAGTGTCCAAACGTGTCTTCAGGGGTGTATGAGTTAAGGTCATGTTCAATACTCCAGGGATTACATTCATTTACATTCTCTGCACCCCTAGAATATGTGGATGTCAGACAATAGGACTAGTTTGTTCCTGTTTTGTACATGTACATGACAAAATCTCGCAGCTGCATAACAGTAGAATTGATTGGCTTTGAAGTTGGGTGTCGGCTTCTCTGTAATCTTCAAAAGAGAGGTATCAGACTAGCAATTGGTCAGGTGTTTTTTTTAGCTGAGACCAATCAAATAGCTAGCTGTGTGCCTTCAATTTTGCTATTACATATTCTACGGTTGCAGAGAATGTAAGTGAGCATAACCCCTGGAGTATCGAGGGTGGGTTACAGTTAATTTTAATCCAAATATGTTTAAGACAAGTATTCTCTGGAAAACTTGATATTCATTTGATAATAACTTAAATTGTTCGTAATTAAAAAAGAAAAGAAGCAGTTCATAAAGTTTGATTTCTATGAAGTATTTTCTTTAGTTTTCCTTTCTTTCTTTCAGGTATCTTATCTTCTATTCCCCGTTTGACATTGTGTACAAGATTGGCCGGTTCCTCCCCTGTAAGTTAGTTGTGGCAGCACTTAAGGAATGTCAAAGAGCACACAAAGTCTACCACGCTGTCATTCATACTGCCAAGCTCTACCCTAACGCCTACTTTGTAATAATTCTTATAGGAACGGTCAAAGGTGAGTACATACTATCTTAAATGACCAAAGTTAGGTACCGTTATAGGAGATCTAATGATGCTTTCTTTATGACCTTTCTTTAATCGTGGATCTTTTGCCATTTGTGTTTCCAAAATTAACGGCACTCATGATCAGCTTCTGTATTACCTACAAACATTGAAACAACAAACGTGAAATCCCTGTGTACCAGTGCAGGCAATTTCTAGATTCATCATCGTATTAGAACATAATAAGAGTTGTATCAAATCTTATTTAATACCACTGTATTGAATTATTAAAATTCTTTAATTCAAGATTAATTTTCAATTTAATAATTAATAAATATGCTTAATATCATTAATTGTATAGCACTAGTACTGATACATCTGGACATGATTGAGCTATGTTAAATCAAATTATGATCAACATATATTGTTTGGATGTCAACAGGTGCTGGAAGTGGTTTAATGAAGAACTTTGAACGGCTGGTGCGAGGTTTGTGGATCCCAGGCACCAATGAACTTTTGCAACCATCTTTGTAAGTATGAAACAACACAACTGATTGTTGTGGCAGTCTTAGTTTATCTGTGATATTGATCAATAGAAACAGTGACATTTTTGGCCTTGTTTTACAGTCAAACACAGGCTGCTTCCCCCTAGCAAAAGAGTGCTGAATTTTCCAAAAAGAATAAAAAATGTGAAGAATATCTTCACAGTTTCAATAAAAATAATGCTTTATTTTCATATAGGAATTGATGTTGTAAAATTAAGGTAGAAAAATCACTGAGGTATAGTGACTATTTGTGGCTGCCAAAGGTTTGTTAGGTTGATTCAATTAAGGACAAGGATGCTGGCACGGACATCTAGCAGGGTGTATCAGCTAACACTTATTTTATCCTGCTACTTCTCTGGAAATGAAGTCAGATATATTCACTTACCGGTATTATAATTGAGTTTGCTCTCTAGGAATTTGTTATATTTAGGTTTTCAGTCTTAACATCAATGTACCTTTTAAACGAAAGTTGATTTTTAGCTCACCGGGTCCGAAGGACCAAGGTGAGCTTATGCCATACCGTGGCGTCCATCAACAATTTCTTTAAACGACTTCTTCTTCTTAACCACTGATTGGAATTTAACTAAATTTGACTGGAAGCATCCCTAGGTAGTGTGGATTCAAAATTGTACAAGTGGTTGGGCTGACCCCCCAGGGGGCTGAGGGCTGGGCCAAAAGGGGGAAATTTGGCTATATTGCTATAAACGACTTCTTCCGTAAGACTATACCATGGATATTGATCATATTTGGTCGGAAGCATTCATGGGAGGCAGGGATTCAAAAGTGTACAAATGGTGGGGCTGACCCCCTGGGCTAAGGGGTGGGGCCAAAAAATAAATATTCCTTGGAAATGGTTGAGATCCCCACCATATACAATATATATACAATTGCTGAGTATAAAGAGAAGAATGCACATTTGCTTTCAGGTTGGGTCTAGGGTCTAGCCCCACCCTTGGAGACTTAACCCCTGGGTCATAACTTTGAAACGGTTGAGATCCCCACCCAAAACTATATATAAGAGACAAATGCAGTCATGATATTAGAATTTATCCTGGGGTCTGGCCACAACCCTAGGGACCTAGTTTCTGAGTCACAGCTTGGAAACAGTTGAGATCCCCACCCCATAACCATACATAAAATTGCTGGGCATAAAAAATCAAATACAGATTTGCTACAAGGATTGGCCTTGGGGTCTGGCATATTCCCTTGGATCTCATTTGAAGAATATTTTGCCATGATTGCTTAGATATCCAGGTGAGCGATACAGGCCCTCGGGGCCTCTTGTTATGGTTATACCACCGTCCGGTAGCATGATAAATTCATTATAATTGGTTGTCAATTTTAGAAGAAGTTGAGACAGATTTTCCCATTCCCCAGCACTTGGGAACGTATTTTCTCCAAAAAGAATGTCTGCTTGTGCCAGATGACGTATGAAACCGAAAATAGTGTCCACACAAAAGTGATCCGCGTAAGAAAAAGTTCGTCATTAGCATATCAATACAAAGTTACGGAAAAATATTGTGAGAATAACAACACCATTTCAGGTGTAAATGTGCACATGAAAAATCCAATGACGATAGAAGTGTTTTAAATATATTAATTCTACATAGTTTTAAGGTTCATTGTATTCCTCCGTGCAAAACTTCTATTTGTTTAAGTTTGCCACAGGCGATCGTTGACCATTGAGCTATGAAGTCATTTGGAAAACACGTTTTTTTGTTGAGTTTTTAGGTCACCTGAGCTTTAGCTCAGAAATCCAATATGGCTGCCACCGCCACCATTTTGAAAATCTATTTCAAACTTAAGGTCAAGTTCTACTGGGCCGATTTAACTGAAACCTGGTAGGAATGATCACTCATGGTCCTGATAAACTGTTGTGATTTTTCAGGTCGATCAGAAATCCAATAAGGCCGCCACGGCTGCCATTTTGAAAAACTATTTCAAACTTAAAGTCAAGTTCTACTCGGCCGATTTAACTGAAACTTGGTTGCAATGATCGACTCGTGCTCCTGACAAACTGTTGTTATTTTCGGGTCAATCAGAAATCCAATATGGCCGCCACGACTGCCATTTTGAAAAACTATTTTAATCTTAAAGTTAAGTTCAACTGGGCGGCCCAATTAAACTGAAACTTGGTAGGAATGATCGACTCATGGTCCTGGCAAAGTGTTTTTATTTTTCAGGTCGGTTAGAAATCCAATATGGCCACCAAGGCTGCCATTTTGAAGGGAAAAAAATCAAACTTAAAACCAAGTTCTAAACGGCTCTGAAACTTGGTCTGGGAATGATCAACTCATGGTCCTGACAAACTGAACTTAACGTTATTCTTACCTTTTTTTTACTCAAATTGGTAGGGATGATTGACATCATTATCTCCACTTCATATTTCAACATCAAAAATAAATAATGTAGGACTCAGGTGACCGTTAAGGCCCATGGACCTCTTGTTTAAATGGAGAAATATATAAGGTAGTAGTATATAGATGATAAATAGTTTATCAAACAGTATTTTCAGTTTTTGTTGTTTGAACAATTTTTTCATCTCTCGCATGTAGATAAAATTGTTCTCACGACAAACCCTGAAAATACAGTGTGATAATCTATAATTATCTACTTGGAGAGAAATATTCAGGTTATTAATTCATCCTCAACCAATAAATACCTGGGGCCTAGTGTTCAAAAGCCCGTAAAGCTTTATGACAACTTCACACAAATCGATGTAGTATATCTTCAAAAATATTGAAATTCAAAATTAAATGTATACAGGGATTCAGTATACTTCCTTAGGTACGAGTATTTCTCAAAAATCTCATTAAAACATTTGTGTCAATGACTTTTACACTGATCAGGCTTTGTATAATCAGGTAGGACTAGCAGCAGTTTTATTTTGCACATCTTTTAGAGTGCAAGTAAATATATGTAAAGGTTAAAAAAAATAACTTCCAGAAAACATTATATAAGGGGTAGGTTGTTATCTATTTAAATTTGTAAGTTGTACAGAGCAGGTTTCATGGAATTTTAAAAAGTTTTTAAAAAATGATCAAAAGTTTTCGTAATTCTTGCATTATGTTTCTGTTGCAGCGTTACCAAAGCTTGCATTGTGGCATCATCTGTATTCTTGCTGGAGCGACTCAACTACATCACTGCACCCCACCCTCTTATCTACTTCGGCATTGTCATCTTCTTTGTGTACTTCAAACTCTCGGCCCTGCTATTAGGTATTCATGACCCATTTGCACCATTTGAGAATCTGTTCTGTGCCATCTTCATGGGAGGTATGTGGGATGCAATGAGGAGGGCAGTCACATCTGAGAAGAAGGAGGAGGACAAAGAAAACAAGAATGACATCCCTGTCAAGAGCAAAGAGGACAAGAAAAAGGATTAAGCTCAGTACATAAAATTCATAAATATAGGTGTAGTAATTCAAATGAGAATCAATCTTTAGCTGAATAAATAAAGATCTCCTCCTCAGATGGAGTTTGATTCATGAAAATTGGGCCTGCAAAAGGGATTTTGTGAATTGATATGGGGGAAGGGTTTGGAAAGCATTTTGCACTGTTTTGAGGTAACTAGACATTAAGATGTCTTACATTTCTTATCTGTGAAATTTTTATCAAGATCCTTGCATTTATTTTCCTCAAGGGTGTTCACAGATTGAGAAAAAATACAGCATTATCCTCACAGACAAAAGAGTTCCCTCACAAGTACTCCCTTTTGTAATGAAGGAATTACTGGTACTGGAATTATTTATTTGTATATTCTTTTGATAGATGACTGGGACTATTCAATTTGACTTTTTTTAATGTAGATGAAATATATACATGTACCGGTCCTCTTTTTCAGTATGAATGTATTTGTTTAAAAGAACAGCAAATTGTTTTCAGAAATGTGAACATTTTCATGATTCTGTTTATATTATCTGCAAAAATTTACCTTGATTTACATTTTTTTGTATGCTGTTTTTTTCTGATCTGAACTTGAAAAATCTCACCAAATTTTGTAATGTAGATCTGTGACATCTGATGAAAGATCTAGGTGACTTTAACTTATTCACCATATTCTACTGAAGCATTGGTTTCTTCAATTTGTAAAAATCAAAAGTTAACAGTTGTATATATACCTGTACTACATGTCAGAGCTGCCATTATAACCATTAGAGAGTAATTATCAATAAACTCAATAAACAAATGAATATATTTTTTTACAAGTGTAAATCACCAAAGATCGCTATAATAAACTACCTGTTGTGGCTCAATAAAACCAAAGTGTTAGATGTGACTATAATGACTAAACTTCTGAGGCTGTTACTTCTAATCACCATTTAATAGCAAGTTCTGAGGCGATTATCATTTCAAAAAATCGTTAGTAAGTTCCAAGGCTTTTACATCTAATCATAACCGGCAAATTCTGAAACTATCGTCGGAAGTTCAATGTCTAATACACACATCAAGTTCCAAAAGGATATTTTTGTTTGTCTTCATTACGTTCAGAGACTGTATGTTTAACCGTTATTAGCGATTGTATACTCCCGGTAAGAAATATACTAGACATTAAACATTCCCGTACATCCCCTAACTTACCCTTGTCTTGTGTAAATGGGAGCTTGGTGCAGCTACAAAAAGTCAGCAAATTCAATCCATACCATTGTCTATGGGTGTGATATCCTACCCAGCTTTTGTTATGGGTACCAGCAAGAAAAACCATCGATTGATGACTCCGAGTCGGTGATCTACAGATCTCACAACTGTTTTATTACATATTGTAGAAGTTCAAATTTAATGATATTCGGCATTCTGAAGCAATAGGCCATGAGTATCTGCCATTAACGTTTTTATTTTATTTGAAAATAGAGTACAAAACTCGATCCACATCAACGCAAATTTATTTGCTTATAGAGTGACATCATATATTTGAAAAAATGTTATGTATAATGTGGGAGGGCATTTCCATTGCAAATGAATTGCCTTGATGATTTTGGTTTGTCAGAGCTAATTTTGCAGGTTATGTATAGTGTAGGATGATTTTCATTTCATGATTTACTTTGCAATTTATGTTTCGTACTGATATAAGTTGTTGTTAAGAAGTGTAGTTGATTTGTATGGCAGATTTATATGTTTCTCTGGTGTATAAAATCAATATTGTTTGAATGTTTAGTAAAAGAGGATGCTAAGTGAATGTGTTTTAATGTCAGAAGTGTCACCCTCAATTTTTGTACAGTGCTTTCTTCAGGCACAGAATCACAAAAATTCTTCTTTTTAAGAATGTTCTTACCCTTATTAAATATTCCAAAAACTTACTTTTCTCCATAAATGTTCTTCATTTAAGTTTTCAAAAATTTAATCTGCTGTTTCAGGTCAAGAATGATTTTCTTACCATAAAAATACATGTTACTTTTTCCATTGTCTTTGTGGATCTGTAAAATAAATCTGTTTTTGAGAAGTTAAGGACATTCTTAAATCGAAAAGTTTTGTGAGTTTGACGCCTGAACATTATATCATTTCCTCCCAGCAGAATCTTCTGGATATTTCAAAATCATTACCATTTCCAAAGCCAAATGGCTAGAGTTTCATTTATTTGTGTTGTAGAAACTGTTACGTTAAGTGCTTATGATCATCAGACGCCCGTCATCAGACAATGCTTCTGGTCATCAGACAATGCTTCTGGTCATCAGACATACCTTCTGGTCATCAGACATACCTTCTGGTCATCAGACATTCCTTCTGGTCATCAGACAATGCTTCTGGTCATCAGACATACCTCTGGTCATCCGACATACCTCTGGTCATCAGACATACCTTCTGGTCATCAGAAATACCTTCTGGTCATCAGACATACCTCTGGTCATCAGGCATACCTTCTGGTCATCGGACATACCTTCTGGTCATCAGACATACCTCTGGCCATCAGACATACCTTCTGGTCATCAGAAATACCTTCTGGTCATCAGACATACCTCTGGTCAGCAGACATCCCTCTGGTCATCAGACATACCTTCTGGTCTTCAGACATACCTTCTGGTCATCAGACATACCTTCTGGTTATCAGACATCCCTTTTGGTCATCAGGCATACCTTCTGGTTATCAGACATACCTTTTGGTCATCAGGCATACCTCTGGTCATCAGACATACCTTCTGGTCTTCAGACATACCATCTGGTCATCAGACATGCCTCTGGTCATCAGACATTCCTTCTGGTCATCAGACATACTGGTACCTCTGGTCAGCAGACATATCTTCTGGTCAGCAGACATACTGATACCTCTGGTCATCAGGCATACCTTCTGGTCATCGGACATACCTTCTGGTCATCAGACATACCTCTGGGCATCAGACATACCTTCTGGTCATCAGAAATACCTTCTGGTCATCAGACATACCTCTGGTCATCAGACATTCCTTCTGGTCATCAGACATACTGGTACCTCTGGTCAGCAGACATATCTTCTGGTCAGCAGACATACTGATACCTCTGGTCATCAGGCATACCTTGTGGTCATCAGACATACCTTCTGGTCATCAGACAATGCTTCTGGTCATCAGACATACCTCTGGTCATCAGGCATACCTTCTGGTCATCGGACATACCTTCTGGTCATCAGACATACTGGTACCTCTGGTCAGCAGACATATCTTCTGGTCAGCAGACATACTGATACCTCTGGTCATCAGGCATACCTTGTGGTCATCAGACATACCTTCTGGTCATCAGACATGCCTTTTGGTCATCAGACATACTGGTTCCTCTGGTCAGCAGACATATCTTCTGGTCAGCAGACATACTGATACCTCTGGTCATCAGGCATACCATACCTCTGGTCATCAGACATCCCTTCTGGTCATCAGACATACCTTCTGGTCATCACACATACCTTCTGGTCATCAGACATGCCTTCTGGTCTTCAGACATACCCGTCATCAGACAATGCTTCTGGTCATCAGACAATGCTTCTGGTCATCAGACATTCCTTCTGGTCATCAGACATACTGGTACCTCTGGTCCGCAGACATATCTTCTGGTTATCAGACATACCTTCTGGTTATCAGACATGCCTTTTGGTCATCAGGCATACCTTCTGGTTATCAGACATACCTTTTGGCCATCAGAAATACCTCTGGTCATCAGACATACCTTTTGGTCATCAGACATACCTTCTGGTCATCAGACAATGCTTCTGGTCATCAGACATACCTCTGGTCATCAGAAATACCTCTGGTCATCAGACATACCTTCTGGACATCAGACATACCTCTGGTCATCAGACATACCTTTTGGTCATCAGACATACCTTCTGGTTATCAGACATACCTCTCGTCATCAGACATACCTTCTGGTCATCAGACATACTGGTACCTCTGGTCAGCAGACATATCTTCTGGTTATCAGACATACCTTCTGGTTATCAGACATACCTTTTGGTCATCAGGCATACCTTCTGGTTATCAGACATACCTTTTGGCCATCAGAAATACCTCTGGTCATCAGACATACCTTTTGGTCATCAGGCATACCTCTGGTCATCAGACATACCTTTTGGTCATCAGACATACTGGTACCTCTGGTCAGCAGACATACTGATACCTCTGGTCATCAGACATACCTTTTGGTCATCAGACATACTGGTACCTCTGGTCATCAGACATACCTTCTGGTCATAAGACATACCTTCTGGTCATCAGACATGCCTTCTGGTCTTCAGACATCCCTCTGGTCATCAGGCATACCTCTGGTCATCAGACATCCCTTTTGGTCATCAGACATACTGGTACCTCTGGTCATCAGACATACCTTCTGGTCATAAGACATACCTTCTGGTCATCAGACATGCCTTCTGGTCCTCAGACATACCTTCTGGTCATCAGGCATACCTTCTGGTCATCAGACATAACTTTTGGTCATCAGACATGCCTTCTGGTTATCAGACATACCTTCTGGTCATCAGACATGCCTTCTGGTCCTCAGACATACCTTCTGGTCATCAGGCATACCTTCTGGTCATCAGACATACCTTTTGGTCATCAGACATGCCTTCTGGTCATCAGACATACCTTCTGGTCATCAGACATGCCTTCTGGTCATCAGACATACCTTCTGGTCATCAGGCATACCTTCTGGTCATCAGACATACTGGTACCTCTGGTCAGCAGACATACCTTTTGGTCATCAGACATACCTTCTGGTCATCAGACATACCTTCTGGTCATCAGACATACCTCTGGTCATCAGGCATACCTTCTGGTCATCAGACATACCTCTGGTCATCAGACATACCTTCTGGTCATCAGACATACTGGTACTTCTGGTCAGCAGACATACCTTTTGGTCATCAGACATACCTTCTGGTTATCAGACATACCTTTTGGTCATCAGACAATGCTTCTGGTCATCAGACATACCTTTTGGTCATCAGAAATACCTCTGGTCAGCAGACATATCTTCTGGTCAGCAGACATACTGATACCTCTGGTCATCAGGCATACCTTCTGGTCATCAGACATACCTTCTGGTCATCAGACATACCTCTGTTCATCAGACATACCTTCTGGTCATCAGACATGCCTTCTGGTCTTCAGACATACCTCTGGTCATCAGACATTCCTTCTGGTCATCAGACATACCTCTGGTCATCAGACATACCTTCTGTACATGTAGGTGTACATATGTCATCTTTTAGTGTGAAACTGCCTAAGCTTTCAGATTGAAATTCAGCATTTTTCACAGGTAATCTCCTTTTTCGTATTTTTGCTTCCATGAATATTTTTCATGTAGCAATCATTATGCTTTTATTTTTGCTGTGAACACTGGTTAACATATATAATCATTTGAAAGATATATTATTCAAGCTTGCATTTCTTTCCAAAATTGTTTGTGTTCCTTTTTAATTTCTCAAAAAATATTTGTGCCATTTTGTATGATTTGTTAAACTGCTGCCATAACCTTTGTGTAATGTAATTATGGCATAGAATCTAGTCATTTGAGATGAATTGCTTTTAGTCTGATTTTATTTGTAAATTTTGTCAAATATTATCCCATTTTTCATTCGTAAAAATCTCTGCATAGGCTTAATTAAACTACTGCAAAAACAATAAGTCAACTGGACTGCAACGAATCAAACCCTTTTTGCCTATAGTAAACATTCTCTGTTTATACTGAAACCTCATTTATAACCTGATTTTAGTGAGCTTAACACTTCTAAGATTTAAAAAAAATATGCTTTATTAATCAGGTAATAATGTATATAAAAAATGTTGAATTGTCTATATTATTAGATATTGGATATTTTTTTGGCCGGTGCCTTTTTTTGTACTATTATTTAGTTCATCATGAGCTGAGAGCCCTATACAGTATATTGATCAGTGCTGTCTACCCAAAGTAGTGGTGATGACCTTGTGTAGTGTAGATCATCGGTCGTAGCTGATAACCCCTGTGTACTATTCATCATAGTAGATGACCCTATGTTGTGTTGATCACAGCTGATAACCTTATGTAGTGTTGATCATTGCTGATAACCCTATGTAGTGTTGATCACGGCTGATAACCCTATGTAGTGTTGATCATGGCTAATAACACTCTGTAGCGTTGATCACAGCTAATAACACTATGTAGTGTTGATCATGGCTGATAACCCTATGTAGTGTTGATCACGGCTGATAACCCTATGTAGTGTTGATGGTGGCTGTCAACCCTATTTAGTGTTGATCATTACTAATAGCCCTATGTTATGTTGATTATCAGTTGTTGCTGATAACCCGATGTAGTGTTGATCATGGCTGATAACGCTCTGTAGCGTTGATCACAGCTAATAACCCTATGTAGTGTTGATCATGGCTGATAACCTTATGTAGTGTTGATCATGGCTGATAACCCTATGTTATATTGATCATAGCTGATAACTGATAGCTGATAACCCTATGTAGTGTTGATCATGGCTGATAATCCTATGTAGAGTTTATTGTAGCTAATAACCCTATGTAGTGTTGATCATGGCTGATAAAACTCTGTAGCGTTGATATTGACTGATAACTCTATGTAGTGCTGAAGGTGGCTGTCGACCCTATTTTTTGTTTAGCATAGCTGATAACCCTGTTGTAGTGTTGATTGTGGCTGATGACCCTATTTAGTGTTGATCATGGCTAATAACCCTATGTCATGTTGATTATCAGTTGTAGCTGATAACCTGATGTAGTGTTGCCCAGTACTAATAACCCTATGTAGTGTTGATAGTGGCTGTTAATCGATGAAGTGTTGAGTTTAACTTGTAATAATATCTTGTAGCATACTGAAAATCTCCCAACCTGACTGCATGTGTATACCAGAGTAAATAATTAGACTGAAAAATAAGTGTGTCTATTTTCCCTGATGGTCAAGGTTATTCTGGAAAGTTTGTTGTGTACATCATGAAATTCCTCTCAATAAACAAGAGATAAAAATGTTGATTGATTTCTGTTTTGTTTTAATTATTTACAGACATTATTTAGCTTATTTTGAGATAACACCTTTAAATTAGACCAAGCTATAAACATGTGGCTGTGATGAAAAAGTGCAAAATAGTTGTAAGTTTGGGTTGGACACATTTCATAGATCAATTATTGTTGAATTGGCACTAAACTTCAGTACAGATTTCTGTTGCATTAATTTGCCTTACTGACAATAGTTATCTACCTATGATAAAGGTGATAAATATTACGTGAGCAAAGAGTTGTTTGTTACTAAAAACCATCAGAATCAGATGCAAGGGCGATAACCCTGTGAGTCTAAAGATATAGTAGGAAAACTAGATTAGTGGTAACTGGATAAATGAGACTGCATTGTAGGACAACCAAATTAGCAGTTACTGGATAGTAGGACAACCAAATTAGCAGTTACTGGATAGTAGGACAACCAAATTAGCAGTAACTGGATAGTAGGACAACCAAATTAGCAGTTACTGGATAGTAGGACAACCAAATTAGCAGTTACTGGAAAGTAGGACAACCAAATTAGCAGTTACTGGATAGTATGACAACCAAATAGCAGTAACTGGATAGTAGGACAACCAAATTAGCAGTAACTGGATAGTAGGACAACCAAATTAGCAGTTACTGGAAGTTACTGGATAGTAGGCAACCAAATTAGCAGTTACTGGATAGTAGGACAAACAAATAAGCAGTACAGGAAAGTAGGACAACCAAATTAGCAGTTACTGGATAGTAGGACAACCAAATAGGCAGTACAGGAAAGTAGGACAACCAAATTAGCAGTTACTGGATAGTAGGACAAACAATTAAGCAGTTACTGGATAGTAGGGAACCAAATTAGCAGTTACTGGATAGTAGGACAACCAAATTAGCAGTTACTCGATTAACAAGGCTGTATTGAAGGGGAAACAAATTAGCAGTATCTGGATAGTATGACAACTGGATTAAAGGGATTTAAATAGGACAACAAAGTTGGTGGTTACCGGATTAACGAAGCTGAGTGGTAGGACAACCAAATTGGTGCTTACTGGATTAATGAAGTTGAGTAGCAGGACAACTGAATTAATGAAGTTGAGTAGTAGGACAACTGGATAAATGACGCTGAGTAGTAGGACAACTGGATTAACGAAGCTGAGTAGAAGGACAACTGGATTAATGAAGCTGAGTAGTAGGACAGCTGGATTAAAGAGATTTAAATAGGACAACCAAAATGATTGTTACTGGATTAATGAAGGTGAGTAGTAGGACAACTGGATTGATGAAGCTAAGTAGTAGGACAACTGGATTAATGAAGCTGAGTAGTAGGACAACTGGATTAAAAAGGTGGATAATAGGACAACAAAATTGGTGGTTACTGGATTAACGAAGCTGAGTAGTAGGACAACTGAATTAATGAAGTTGAGTAGTAGGACAACTGGATTAATGACGCTGAGTAGAAGGACAACTGGATAAACGAAGCTGAGTAGAAGGACAACTGGATTAACGAAGCTGAGTAGTATGACAACTGAATTAATGAAGTTGAGTAGTAGGACAACTGGATTAATGACGCTGAGTAGTAGGACAACTGGATTAACGAAGCTGAGTAGAAGGACAACTGGATTAATGAAGCTGAGTAGTAGGACAGCTGGATTAAAGAGATTTAAATAGGACAACCAAAATGATTGTTACTGGATTAACGAAGCTGAGTTGTATGACAGCTGGATTTACGAAGGTGGATAGTAGGACAACCAAATTGGTGCTTACCGGATTAATGAAGTTGAGTAGTAGGACAACTGGATTAATGAAGCTGAGTAGTAGGACAACTGGATTAACGAAGCTGAGTAGAGGTACAACTGGATTAACGAAGCTACGTAGTAGGACAGCTGGATTAAAGAGATTTAAATAGGACAACCTAAATGATTGTTACTGGATTAATGAAGCTGAGTAGTATGACAACTGAATTAATGAAGTTGAGTAGTAGGACAACTGGATTAATGACGCTGAGTAGTAGGACAACTGGATTAACGAAGCTGAGTAGAAGGACAACTGGATTAATGAAGATGAGTAGTAGGACAAGTGGATTAACGAAGCTGAGTAGAAGGACAACTGGATTAATGAAGCTGAGTAGTAGGACAGCTGGATTAAAGAGATTTAAATAGGACAACCAAAATGATTGTTACTGGATTAATGAAGGTGAGTAGTAGGACAACTGCATTGATGAAGCTAAGTAGTAGGACAACTGGATTAATGAAGCTGAGTAGTATGACAACTGGATTAAAAAGGTGGATAATAGGACAACAAAATTGGTGGTTACTGGATTAACGAAGCTGAGTAGTAGGACAACTGAATTAATGACGCTGAGTAGTAGGACAACTGGATTAACGAAGCTGAGTAGAAGGACAACTGGATTAATGACGCTGAGTAGTATGACAACTGAATTAATGAAGTTGAGTAGTAGGACAACTGGATTAATGACGCTGAGTAGTAGGACAACTGGATTAACGAAGCTGAGTAGAAGGACAACTGGATTAACGAAGCTGAGTAGTATGACAACTGAATTAATGAAGTTGAGTAGTAGGACAACTGGATTAATGACGCTGAGTAGTAGGACAACTGGATTAACGAAGCTGAGTAGAAGGACAACTGGATTAATGAAGCTGAGTAGTAGGACAGCTGGATTGAAGAGATTTAAATAGGACAACCAAAATGATTGTTACTGGATTAACGAAGCTGAGCAGTATGACAACTGGATTAACGAAGGTGGATAGTAGGACAACCAAATTGGTGCTTACTGGATTAATGAAGTTGAGTAGTAGGACAACTGGATTAATGAAGCTGAGTAGTAGGACAACTGGATTAATGAAGCTGAGTAGTAGGACAATCAGATTAGTAGATAAGTTCCATTCACTAAGATGGATAGGAGGACAACTGGATTAATGACGCTGAGTAGTAGGACACCTGGATTAACGAAGCTGAGTAGAAGGACAACTGGATTAACGAAGCTACGTAGTAGGACAGCTGGATTAAAGAGATTTAAATAGGACAACCAAAATGATTGTTACTGGATTAACGAAGCTGAGTAGAATGACAACTGAATTAATGAAGTTGAGTAGTAGGACAACTGGATTAATGACGCTGAGTAGTAGGACAACTGGATTAATGACGCTGAGAAGAAGGACAACTGGATTAATGAAGCTGAGTAGTAGGACAACTGGATTAATGAAGCTGAGTAGTAGGACAATCAGATTAGTAGATAAGTTCCATTCACTAAGATGGATAGGAGGACAACTGGATTAATGACGCTGAGTAGTAGGACACCTGGATTAACGAAGCTGAGTAGAAGGACAACTGGATTAACGAAGCTACGTAGTAGGACAGCTGGATTAAAGAGATTTAAATAGGACAACCAAAATGATTGTTATTGGATTAACGAAGCTGAGTAGTAGGACAACCAGATTAGTAGATAAGTTCCATTCCCTAAGATGGATAGTAGGACAACTGGATTAGCTGTTACTAGAATAACGAGGATTGATAGAAGGACAACCAGGTAGTAGTTACTAGAGTAACAAGATAAATTCAAATACGAAGCTTGAAATTCTTGATAAATCACACAATTACGTGCATGTTCCGATTTGTCTCCATCTGCTACCTTTGGAAAGGGGAACATCTATTTTTAAAGCTTGTACATCAACAAAAGATTAATTGCAAATATGTTTCATTTTCTGTCGAAACATTACACCCGAGTAATTTATTAAATCCGGAAAATTATCTATGCGTAATATATGTATATCTTAACATTACTATGGTAGAGCGTAATCTGAATAAAAACAACGGAATAGCTCTCCGAATGAGACATGACCATATTTATGGGTCATTTTTAATATGATAAATACAGAACATAAAAAAAAATCATTTGTAAAAATGCCAAAATAAAAATATTTTTCTCGTTACGATTAATTAAAGAAGCAGGTCCAAACGTGATTTCACAGCAACGTGAATATTGCTGATATCGTGACTCAACTTGTCCGTTCGCCCAGGTGTGTTTATAAGATTTGATGACTTGTTCAACGTTTTTAGGAAGCGATAGAATAAACAATTTTGACACTGAAAGATATATTTATTTCTATAGATTCATGAAACATAGCATATAAAACCAGGCAAGTAATATCAAAATCCTATTTCTTAACCAGACACTCTCTCCTACCTATCAGACTGGCTTTCTCTGATGAAATCAAAACTAATATACAACTACGTATACTAACTAGTACCACGGAATTAGATTATCTAAGTCCGTGCTAGTACTCAAATTAACAGTTGAAATAAAGTATAAAGACGGGAAGGTAATACCGTCTTTTCACCCTAAAATTCTCACAAAGTCTGAGATATACCTATGTGAGTAAAAAAAATCTCATTTTATAAATGGTTAATTCATAAATTAAATCTGGCAGATATATTTAGGGTGTTTGGTTGGTTCAGTTATCTTTGAAACAGACAGCAACGTGTTGTAGGTATTGAATGAAGTAATATCAGAGTATTTCAAAATTAAAGCAGGTGAACACCAGGGATCTGTTCTCGTACCCTCACTATTTCTTAAATAATCAATGATATTATATCGAATACACAAATGAACTAATGAAATTATCTGCTGACGACACTATATACAGTATCTTGTCGTCGAAAACCATCTGCC